TGCGCTCCTTAAGATTTGTGATGAGAAATCTACACTTATTCTAATGCATTTGTCTGTAGACATGATTTGTTGCTTTTCTCTTATAGCTTTTAAGATTTTGCCACTGTGTTGGATTGTTAGCATTCTGACAGCAACGTGACTCGGAGAGGTTGTTTTTTGGCCAGGCCTGCTTGAATTTCTGCATGCCTCACCCAACTGCATGTTTACTTCTTTCCCTATATTGCGATGTCTGCTGTTACCTCTGTAAATGGAATATTGATGCAATTTGTGTTATATTTGAATTTTTCCTGTGTTTCAGTTACTCAGAGATTAATCTTCTTTGCATCGTCTAACACCAGTTGAATCTATTTTTCATGTCCTATTTGTTGAAGGTGACCTTGTGTAATTGAATTTGAAAACATCTCTGTATTCTAATTTTGAAATTCTGTACTTATATTAGTAGTTTCTGTTCCCCATAATTTCACTATAATTTTAATCACTAGATGTGTGATTAAAACCTTTTGCTGGAATCAAATTATTTACTAAAGTATTCATTCATTCTTTGTATCATTTTCTTTAGCTTCCCTAGATTACTGTTAATGTCTTCTGAAAGCATGATGACTATTTCGGTTACTACTTCCATTACCTTTTTGTAAATCTTTTGTGATCCTACCAAGCATGACTTTTATATACTTTCTGAACTGCTATTACCCTCCTGAGTAATTTGGGAGAGTGGTTTATGCTGTTCTCCTCTTATTACCCTCTAGATTATCTTTGTGAGGAGTTGAGAATTTGGGGAAACATTCTGATGTCTCATTTCCCATATTTCCATTGCTTTTTTCTTTCTTTTGTGTTATTACAGTGTATGGCACTTGTAGTGGAAGAACTTTCATGCTGCCTGCTTAGTGAGTCTCTTTTTTAGTGATGTCCTTTGAGCAGATATATCTATAGTCCTTGGCCTCTGTCCTAAGATATGATCACCACTGCTAATGTGAGAGGAAATGATACATATGAACGTCCCACAAGCAAGTTATCTGACAGTGTTCCCCAATAATGTTAATATCAGAAAGGCAATCTGGGCATTGGCATATGGAGGAGACCCTTTCATGACAATTATGTGACCAAGGCAGGGACCAGCAGATCATCTACAGGGCCATCACCCAAAACAAATTTTACATTAACAATCAGTTATGGGTAATTAGGTAGCACTCTTAACCACAGAATAGAAATCTGCACTTATAGGACACACATTAAGACAACCCAGATACATACATTCCTCTAATATGGAGTAAATGCAACAGTTGTAGGTCTGCTAATGGTAGAAAAATTTCAATGATAATTATATAGAGTTAAGTCATTATATCAGTATTAATATCAAAGCTTAATGGCTGAATATTAAAGATAGAAGGTGCTGGAAATTGAGAACACAGAAAGAAAAAATCTGAATGCTTAAATTATAAGGTAGGAAGAGAGAGAAGTGGGAGAAAGCATCCAATTAAGAAATAGATTGGTGTCTATAGAATTAAGTAAAGACAAAAGAAAGTCCTGATGAGAAATTGAAAATAACAGAATAAAGAGAGAAAAGAGCAAAAATTGTATGAGGATTATGTGAGGAATTAGAGGGTAAAAATAAGAGGTAATAAAAATAAAAGGAAGAAAAAATTTCTTTCACTTTTGAATCGTTTCCACCTAGTGTTCAGAATACTGAAGTGCAGCAATTCTCGTTTCCCTGAGGTCCCAATGTTCTCACCAGGCTGGGGCTGTCCCATTCACACTGTTTACCTGCTCCCAATGGTGGTTAATGTAGGCAGCTGGACACTGGACCCAGGATGAATGCAGGACACAGGATAAGGGCTCCCATGTCCAAAACCAAGACTTTCGTATCCACAACCACTCAGGTTGGCCCTGGCCTCTGGCCCATGGCATTAGGGTCTGTGCCTCTCTGAGCTGAGCCCCAACCACTCATATGTCCTTTATCAGCCCCTTGCCAGTGCAGCACTGTTTCCTGAGTCTGTCTCTCATCATGGGAGGGCCATGCTGGGAACTAGGAAGTGAATCTGTCACAGGGCTGATCTGAGTCCCAAGTTCAAGTCCTCAACATTTTAGCAGAATGGACCCCAAGCTCAGTGCTTCTCCAAGGACAAGGTAGGCACCTACTCAGGGGTCATTCGTCAGGTGTCAGTATCTTATGGAGAACTCCACAGTATACCCGAGGATTGCAGCACCTGCCAGTCCAGTGAAGCACCGATTTTTCTCCCTGGGACCTGAGGAAGTTCCCAGGCTTCACTTTGGTTCTACATTCAATTGTCTTTCCCATGAGACAGGAGTCAGTGGACAACTCCAGACTGGTTTTGTCTTTTTATTGTGTTTTTTATCTCTTGCTGCCATTTTTTGGTAATTTTTAATTTTCCTGTAACATCCTTCTGGAATCCCCTGGATACATTTCTCTTTTTCCTTTATTTCCCTCCAGAAGGTCTGAATACTGAGAGTCTGGATTCTGGATCCTGGAGCGGCCAAATTGCTGCTGCTCCTCACATCGGCATTGTCCAGCACAAAGGTATAAAAGGAACCCATAAACACACATAAATATGGGGCCCACAGAGCCTGATCCCCCTGATAATAAACTGCAGCTCCCAGCGCAGGGGGCTGAATGGGAATTGTTAGCACTCTAAGTGGTGCCAGGGGGGAGTACTTATGAAAGGGACAGCCTTGGTCCCAGAGCAGACCAGACTTCAGCAGTGGATGCTCCAACTGGTCAGCAGAGTGACAAGCCCAGCATCTGCCAGACCCATGCTATGGACCCGTCACGGGGATTGTGGGTGTCTTCAGCCAAAAATCTACAAACTCCACAGGGTTTGCCTGCCCTCTGAGTCAGCCCTCAAAACCACTAAGCACACACTCACGTGAACCCCAGAAACAAGGCAAAGAGTCCTCGTGGAAATGAGGATTTGGTCTCAAGATGAGAGGCCACTTCTCTGGAGGGGCAGTAATAGGAAAGTTAGGTTGACAGGAGCAAGATGGAGAAACTGCACCACCACAAAGGAGATACTCCACGTATGATCTCGTAGTTGAGTTGCACAGCACCCGGCACCTCCAGTTTAATGGAAGGGAAGCCCGGGTGGGTGGCTAATCTAGAGGCATTTCAGTGCATTTCTATTTCAGAACAGCAGAGCAGAGAAGCCTGATGGGAGGAATGCTACTCACTATGTTCCTCCAAGAAGCAGAGTCAGTCAGGATTCAGGAAGGGAGACACAGCCTGCTCTGCCACACCCACCATGCCTTTCCTCCTTGTATTAGGCCCCCACTCTTAACCAGTCACCTGTAAGCTCCATAACCCAGTCACCTTGCAGAGGTCCTGCCTAGGAACCCATGGAACTGTTGGGAGAAACTGGATTAAACCTGGTATTGGTTCCCACATCTGAGGAGAAATCATAGGGTTTCTTCTCTCAGCACTGAAGTTCCATCGAGCAGTGATGGGAAGGGTACCTGCTCACTTCTTTTGAGAGTCCTGGAGATCTCAGGGAAGAGAAGGACATGCACTAAGATGGCATCTTCAGGTGGCCACAGGACACCCCAGCTCTTCAGGGCCTCTCAGATCCCAGGGACCGTCAAATGTCAAAGTAGGAACTCTGCAAGACACCTACCCATGCCTGCGTTCATCTCATTAAAAGCAGGAAAGGATCTCAGGCTGATACCAGACTCTAAGCTCTGGGTCTCGGAGGAGTGAATCTCCTGGTATGAGGGAGCTGAACCTGGGCATCAGCGGTAGGACTCTAAGCGACAGCGGGTGTCTAGATGACAGCAGAGGGAGTCTTGTTAAAGAACACAGACTATCCTACGTTCAAACGGTCCCTTTGTTACTTGACATCAGCACAGAGAATGCAAGTTTACTGGCCTTCCCTTCATTCTACTTTGAGCATCTCAGAGAATTTGATTTGTGGGTTAAAGAAGGTGGCTCCAGCTCACCCGAGGGCCCTTCACAGACCTTAGATTTTCTCCATATCAGAATGGACCAGGGCCCCTCATGTGGGTCATATGGACCCCACTTAGTATTTCCACCACAAGGTGTTTCCTCCAGGCAGCCATGGCCAGCTGTGTGTCCCCTTAACGCTTTTGTTCCCCATCAGCCTGGGGGACAATTTTGCTGAGAGTTTGCTTCAGGACAGCAGAGGATTGGGGTCCATGCCCTGCTCAAGGACAGATGAGGATCTTGGGAGAGCAGAGAGAATAGAAATCGCCGGAACAAAAGGGATATCACACAGTAGAGCTGACCCTGCTCTGAGGGCTGAGAGACCACGACTGAACCTGCCACATGCATTTTAAGGGGCACACCTTGTCTGTTGCAGGAGTTTCAGAAAGCAGGTGATCTGGTCTGTGTCTGAGGAATACTGACAGATCACACACAGGGCAGGCCCAGAGGGCAGTGTAAGGACTCAAGAGGAGAGCATGCCCAGAGGTGTACCTAGGGCTCTTCCTGCGCCTGGACAAAGGCCATTCCCTGTGCTCAGGCCCCACTTGCCTTACTCTCCATCCTAGATACTTGTGCCCTGTGCTTCAGCTCTAACCCCAGGAGCACTGTCACACCCTCTCTGAGGTTCTTGGGGACCCATCTGCCAGGGCCACAGGAACCTCTTGGGCCCTAGAGCACCAACCTAGGACAAGATCTGGAATCGGGGCTTCGTGGAAGCTGATGGGATTGGTGTTCTCACCTGAGTGCACTCACAGGCTCCCTCTCTCCTCCAGGCACCTAGGCCTCCTCACCAAGCTCTGGCTGTCTCCAAGGACATCTTCTCGGTCAGAGGACACAGTGCACAAGGCGGGAGGAGGCCTTCCTGGCCAGAGTGGGGCCCGTGACCCTGAGGAAGTGCAGGTTCTGTCACCTTAAGAGGAGGAAGTAGCAGCCACTCCTCTGCCTCCTCCACCTCCTGTATACACATCCTAGGTGAAGGCAGTAACTGGGCTCGGGCAAGAACACCAAGGTTTCCCATAACCCTCAGCACTGTCTTCCCTCTGCTGTTACAATGGACTCCAGTGAAAGCAGCGAATACAGCCTGAGCTCCAGCAGTGAGGAGGAAGATTCAGGCTCTGCACTGGATTTGCTAGTCCCTCAGATCCTGCGACGTGTATTCATAGGTGACAAGACAGCTACATTGGTGGAGTTCCTGCTCCTCAAGTATCAAAAGAAAGAGCTGGTGACCGAGGCAGAAATGTTGCACCTCATGGACCACAGTGACCATGAGCACTTCCCTCTTATCCTCAAGGAAGTCTGTGAGTGCATGTGTTTTGGCTTTGGCATCCATGTTAGTAAGGCCAATTCCCCTGGCCACACCTATGAATTTGTCCCTCTCTTGGGCCTCACTTATGAAGGCATAGATGGTAGTGACCAGATTATTCCCAAAATTGACCTCCTGATAGTGATCTTGACAGTCATCTTTATAAGGGGCAGCTTTGCTAGTGAGGAGGATGTATGGGAGGTGATCAGAAAGAGGCAGATGTTACCAAAGAGAAACTTTCCTCTTGAGGACAGGTGGAAATTCATCACTGAGGACTTGGTACAGGCAGGATACCTAGAGTGTCGGCAGGTGCCCGGTAGTTACCCTGCTTACCATCAGTTCCTGTGGGGCCCTAGGGCTCAAGCTGAAACCACCACGATGAGAATCCTGGAGCATTTGTCCAAGGTGAATAAGATCGATCCCAGGACATACCCACGACTATATGATCAGGCTCTGATAGAGGAGATAGATTCTTCCACGAACGACTTAGAGGCCATTGAGGAGGAAATGTGATGCCACAGGCAGGGAGTGCTCCACAGCAGCATCCCTAGCTTAGCTCCCACCCCATGTGAAGTGAGGCCCATTCTCCACCAGAGATTGTGGAGGGCAGTCAGCTTTCTCAGCAGCGAAGTGTCAGAGGAGGTGGGGAACTACGGTGCATGGTGTCTTGACGTCTGTCCCATGTGCCTTGCTTGGAAATGTTTTCTTCTTTACTTATTGAAGCCTTGTTCCTTTTCTCGTAAGACTGACATAGCTTGCACATCTTATTTGATGAATGATATTAATCACACGTATCTTTTTACTTTTGTGATCTTGGCGCTTGTTCATAATTTCTGTTGTGAAACTGATATTGTGTGATAATAATCACAAAGCAATTTCTCTTTTCCTTACAAGGTGTAAGACTCTTAGTTTTTTGTGAAACCAGCAGGGAAGGCTTTGTGTTATTTGAGATATTGAACTAGATACCCTAGTGTTGGAATACGAACGTCCTGGGAAATATGCAAGATGTTCCCACCAGGTTAGGTGGAGCTCAGAAAGGCATGAGGACACAAAGCAAGTCTCTGCTGCCTGTTTCCTTTTGTCTATTAGTCTCTGCTATTAAAAGTGCATATGTAACTCCATTTGCCCAGTTTCTTCACTTATACCAGAGAAATTTAATGTCATTATACCACTATATCTGCGCACCTGCACACTGACCCCAACTCTTTTGCCCTTAGGAAGGCCCTGTGTCTGGGGTGGGGATGTGAGTACTCACCACTGAGAAGATCAAACTACCCCCGGGGATGGTGGAGTCCAGCAGCTCTAACAATGTCCAGAATAGAGAGATGGCCTCCAGGTCCTCATGGCGTGCCAAAGAGCCCTGAGTGGATGAGGTCTAGCAGGGAGCACCCATGCCTGAGTGCGGGACCGGAGGATATGGTGTTATGTGTGACTGCAGTTCCTTCTGAAGTAGCTGATTTTCCAGCAGCCTCAAAGGGGACAGTGCCAGACCCTCAGCCAAGGTTGTTAGGACTGATATTAAAGCCACAGAGGATGGACGACTGTCCTAAGAAGTGTTGTTAGATGGTGGGTGAAGCTGAGAGGAATCCTCACCTGGGACAGCTGTGAGATGAGCTGTCCTGTGTACAGTAGGAACCAGGGGACTTATGCCCATGATATAGAGGAATGAAACTGCCAACCTAAAAGGTCCCTGGAATGAGATTGTGTTCTTCAAAACCTAAGAATGAATTTTAGGAACAAACAGAGGGTAAGAGCAGAAAATTTATTGGGGGAAATAAAGCTTCTGTCTAAGAGAGGGACAGAAGGGGGACCAGAGTGTGTGACCCAGGAATCTGTCTCTTCCAGGTATTTTTATAGAACAAAACCATGTAGTGAGGCAGGTACAAGGTGGAGAACATGGGAACTTGCTTCAATGGGCGTGAGGTGGCACAAAACTATGTTTGGCCAGAAAGGTTACAAGGGGCCATTTCTCAGGTAAAATTGATTAAATCCAGGACTGAATGGAGAAGTAAGTCATGTAACAAAAAGGCATAAATATAGAGCAGGAGTTTCTCTGGTAGCCAGTAGCAGTTGGATTATGACTCTTCCTGGATTCCTCAAGGTAATGATCAATCCTGGATGCTTATCTTCAGGGAGATCAGCATTTGTTCAAACTTTGGTCTTTAGGTCTGGCCCACAGCAGGAATATCCATCTCTCTTACATTTGCAAGGTATCTTGTCTTCCATGCTATCTCCTTTGAGGGTCGAGTCTTGTCTGACTGCCTATAATATTTCTATCTAACTCAACTGCCTAGAACATCCAGACTGTGTAAGGATTTCCTGAGATATTTGGGGGACTCTCAAAGGAAGTGAGGCCCTAACATTCCTGACCTAAGAGTGTCTGCCTTTCTGTGTTTGCAGTACACAGTTGACTACTTCCCCAGGGACGACTTCACCTCCTGAGTCCTGTTTGCCTCAATGCTATTACAGGACAAGCATCTAAGTGGTCAATTCCCTCAGTTTCATGAGTGGCCAGATGACTACCTGACCAGGAGGTTTCCCCCTCCTGAGATCCTCCTCAGAATTTGAAAGTGGCTTCTCCTGTCTTGTACTAGCACTCAGCCTGGGCCAGTTTGACTCACTTCTTTCTCACGGGCATTTATTCTAGTGAGGTCAGGGTGCAGAAATTTGCTCCAAGCTTCTTGTCTTTGTGTGTGTGCTGAGCACCCTGTCACCAGAATGACCATGGATTTAGATCCATTTTCATACTATGTTTGTGAGACCCAAAGATAGGCTTTGGCTGATGTGATTGACAATAGTTTGCCCAGCGGAAGACAAGCTGACCCAGGGAGGAACATGGTTCTTCACCCAAGAACAGGAGCTTTCAGTTATTTGGCCGAGGCAGAGACACAGTCCACAATATCAAGGAGAGCAATATGTCCTATTGGAGAGAACTTACTGGAGAATATCTGCTAAATAGGATTTTTGCCAAATTCACTGCTCAGTGTAACACTGAGCTGCAGCTTCCCCTAGAAACACACACAAATTTTCCAGAAGTATCAAGACAGCTTCCAAATTAAGGTAGTACTATAATCAGCCTCTTATCAACAATGCTCAATTTATATAAGGCATTCTACCAGGCTTTATAACACATTTCTAAGATTTCAGCAGTTATGGAACAAAAACTGTTTGAGAAATGCATTTGGTATATAAAGACCACGAGGACCACTGGCGTTGGCAACTTTTAGCATCACTGCACAGTAAAGGACAAGGTCAGCCCTATTTTTCTATAAGGGTACCTAGAAGCCACGCTGTTCTACTCCTACCAATCTGAACTCAGCTCTGTTTCGGGATTTGTTTCTGTATTCAGAGAAATGAAAAATACCTCTCAGGGTGTAGAAGACCCTGTGTCCACTGAAACCGGGGCTACATTAAGACCATAAAAAATGAACAGGTGGTGTGTACCCCCTACTCCCAGGAAAACTAACCCCAATCACCTGCCCTCAGCCACATCACACAGAAGGCCCTGCCTGTCCCATTGACTACCCTACAAATGTTTCAATAGCAGCATCCATTGTGTCATTAATGTTACCTTAGGAGTATGATGGTTAGAAAGGTACCATAGGAAAGGCACAGAGGTTGGCAGTTTGGCCAAGAAACTAAAGACTGGAAAAAATTCTCACCCTATTAAGATTGGATGATATTATGAAGAGAAATACACACAAGTGCTAGCAAGTGAGAACCAAGAACTTGCCCTGCTAGTGTGTTTAAGATAATATGGGATCGAGATTAATTTTGTAACTTAAACATGTGTCCCACAGTAGGTAGACTTGAAAAAGCTAAAAATGTCCCAGCCCATTTTATTTTCTCAAAAAGTCTTCCCAGAAAGGAAAATTTTATCTTTAAAAATCATATTTGTTGCTTTTATTTGAGCATCCACTATGTAACCACTTATGGTGGCACTGCAGGTCCTCCTCCACGCACTGCTTGTCTTGTACTGTTCTCTAGACAGAGGAACATTATACTCCACTTTTCCATAGGAAGGATCCCTGGATGAACCCAGGCCTCTGAGATACAAGCAGATACATTACTCCTTCACTAGTACCTCTTGTGTTGGACATCCTGATGGACAACTGGATTAAGTCCCATGCCCCATCCTCCAAGCACACAGAACCCTCTGTGTACACATATAGGAGTTTCAGCCATGCCATGTTTATTTGTGCCCTTTGACAGGAGGAAGCTGATTCTGCACCTTGAAGGCCCTGGAAAGGAGCAGCCCCAAAGATGGTGGCCTCAGAGCTTCCTTTAATACACACACACACACATACACACATACACACAGAGTGATGTCTTCCCACTGTGAATGCCAGTTGGTGGCCATAACGTCCCAAAAGCCTGTGGCACCTGGAGCTTTCCCACTGTTTATGTTCCCCCTCTACCCCAGTTCTGAACCTGTCCTCAGCCTGCCAGTTTGCAGCCTTATGCTGCCTATGTCCCTGCTCCTACCTGCTGAGCCTGAGACAGAACGTCAGAGGGCTCTCTCACTGTGTACAGGTCGGTAAAAGCCATCTGTGGTTAGGAAGCCAGGGGAGCTGGAGCACTGAGAGATCTTGTGATCTCCTCACTGGCTGTATGGCTTCCAGCCAGCTTGGGCTCATCTTCTTCTTGATTCTACAATGGAAATCCAGCTCCAGGCCTGTGGGGCTGGTGGCATGAGCCTATCCTGTCACTTCTTTTGGGATCTACTTTGGAGAAAAGATTTTTCAGGATTGGTATAAGAAGACCTCTGGATGTATTGCATATTTCTAATAGAAAAAATTCTACTTTTAATTTTCTACTATGCATTTCCAGGAACGGGTCACATAATGGGATAAAAGAGGCCTCCTTAAGAATTCTGAGCCCCTCTCAGTCTCTAAAGTGTAACTTGCCCATTTATCATAGAACTCAGGCAAGGAATCCCCAAGACATATTCCAGTGCATTCCCTTCACACCTCTCTGCTTCTATTGTACAAGAGCATGCGTCATCCATCTGATGGACAGGGTTTCCTATCCTTGAAAGATTTGTGACACCTGTCCTGTGCATGCTGGAACCAAAGCAGGAGGACCACAAGGCCCAGAGGTGAGGGACAGGGAGGGTAGCTCCCTCCTGTGCCATTGGCCCAGAATGTATGAGGTCTATCATTTGAGGGATCCACCCCAGCCCTGAAAAAGACATGCTAAGGCAGTTGGCAAGAAATGTCTGCTATGGAGTGTGCACCTCACTTGCACTGCTGGAAATTTGCTGGCTGGAAGATGAATACGCTCAGCCAGCACTGTCCAGTGTGGGACCCAGACAGCACATGTGGCTACTTAGTAGTGAGATGTGACCAGTGTCATGGAGGAGCTACAATTTTAACTCAATTTTCTAATATTTACACTGTAAAAAGTTAAACCTTATTGGAAAGGACAGGTACAGGAGTTCCGAATCTAAACCTGTATGGCAGGAGGAACACATGTGTATAGGTGATAAGGGAAGTGAGAAGGAATCGGTCACG